TATATGTGTATATGTGTATATGTATGTGTGTGTGTGTGTGTGTATATATATGTATATGTATATATGTGTGTATATATGTACTGTATATATATGCAAATCCTTTCCCAAAAAGTGTGCAGGCAGAAAGAACTTGTAGATGCACAAAATACTAAAAACACAATTATAACCTCTTTGGGGTAAATGTTACAAAATCCTTTTAAAAAGAAAAAAAATTCGTGCTCTATCATATGATGGAAAAGATACGTACTAGGCATTATAATGAAAGTAACACTACAGTGGCACACTCTTCAAGGCCAGCTGGCCTCTCAGCAATTATAATAGGGTTGACACCACCAAGGCACTGAATGCTCGTGGAAGGGTTACAATATAGTAGATTTTTCTCAAACTCCCAGCTTTACTTTGCAAACTAGAGCCACTCCATCTGGAAAGAAACTCAAGGGAGAGTACGGGATGTGAAATGTACTTGATCTTCCCATTATTGTACTTCCAGGAGCACGGTGCTTTTTGCTGGGCTCAGAGCCCAGAACGACAGGCCTTGTGTATCCAAAAGGGCCCTGGAAGGGTTCCAAAGTGCAACTTAGAAGCCACAGATATTCCTGAAAGCTAACCAGCTGTAGCTGTGAATAAATGAGCTTGTGAATACTAAAATTGAGGCGAAGATCTTATTACATGGGGAAAGGGATACAATCCTAGACAGAAAGCTGTGAAAGTTCTTAAAAAGCAAGAGGATGCTGAACAAACCAAAGAAGCTTGAACAGATGGACACCACAGAGTCCATAACACATTCCTTGTGCACTGTCTTCAGCATGATCCCTTAAAAGTATGGGTTTCACAGTAATGTTGAGAGACCTTTATGGTCTGTATGTGGGGGAAAAAACCCTTTAGGCATTGCTGACAGAGACTATACAATTTCTTTGTCCTGATTTAAGGTGCTGTAGGATGTCAGTCCTCAAATTATAGTGGCATGGTTTCGTACTTTCTCCTTCAAAGAAAACTGAGAAAGCTGAGAAATACTTTAAGGCTCTTCAGTCTTTAAGGAGGAATGTGGAGCCCAACATGACTCCAGTGGGAACACAAATGTTACCTGCAGTGCTGGTACCAAAGTGACCAATTTCTCTAACGTCTAGTGAAGACCAGCACCTTATTCCATCGTTAGAGAAATCCAGTCTGTCAACAATTTTAGATGGGAATGCTTAGCCCTGCTCTATCCACCATCACTTTCTCAGTCTGAAGGGGAGAAAGTTACTGCTCAGTTTTAAAGGTTTTTTTTGGCTCATGTGGAAAGTCTTCAGAGTAGTGACAGACTGAATGAAGAAATCGGCAAAGAGGGACGGGCTATGGTTTCCCATTTAAGGGGGTGACTACATTAGCAAACAGTGCAGGGAATACTACGGGTTTGGGGCAGGCCGATTCACATTTCCCCCCAGAAATCACATGACACAATGGGAAATGAGAAACAGCACATACTCTCCTCAGCAAGGCCTCTATTTTTTTTCAAAGCTTCTTCTCCTGGGCAACACTTCTGTTTATTTTATTTACAAACCAAACAATCGAGGCAGGAAAAGCATTATCATAGCCTGTTAATGCAGTTCTTTGACTAGCGCCATCTGCAGGGCTGTAAATACAACTACAAGCAGTTCAATTTAAGCGTGGTCATTTACATGGAACCAGCCTGAATTTCTTAGTGCAGAGATAGCGAACCTATGGCATGTGTGCCACAGCTGGCATGCACAGCCCTTTCTGTGGGCACGTGAGCCATAAGTTTCCAGAATGCTACTCCCCCCCCCACTGCAGCGAAACCTGAGAAGGTGGCTGTAGCCGCGGTGCTGCAGATGGATCCAGAGCAATGCAGCGAAACCTGAGAAGGTGGCTGCAGCCGCGGTGTTGGGACTTCGACAGGCAGATCCGGAGCAGCTGGTGAGGGATCCAGAGTGGGGTCTTGAGGCACCTCGGGCCAGGATTCCCCCCCTCTGCCACTACTTGTGGTTCTGCCGCTGCTGCAGCATCCCACCCGCTGGTTTTTTGCCACTGCTGCAGCATCCCACCCGCTGGTTTTTTTTCCCCCAGTTTGGGCACGCGAGCCCAAAAAGGTTCATCGCCACTGCCCTAGTATGACTTCACAGGCAGTGAATGAGAATGAATTCACATTTCCCTCACTGTGTAGTCACATCCTAAGCATGATGACAAGGATTCGGTAACACCTTGAACATGGCTTAGAGGGTCTGTGGATTTGCAGCAGTGCCAATGTTAGTAAAAACATCTAAAAAAAATACAGTTGTCAGTTGTTTGTTTTTAAAATGGACACAGCAGTACTGAAAACAGTAAATCGATCCCCAGTACCATCCTATACACCACTTAGATGTATGGTAGTATATAAATATTTAAAAATTAATGCATAATAAATGCATAAAATTTAAAAAGATGAATATATAGCCAGTGAAGTACCTCAGAAAAATGCTGTGGAAGGCATTTCCCATTGTCTTTGGCAATAGACTGCACAATTTTTAGGGCTTTTTCTCCTTTTTTGCGAGTCAGAAGCCACCGTGGAGATTCAGGTATCAGCCTGCCAAAGAAGAAAAGTTAATGAGGACGTGGCTGTTGCTAACAATATTAAGAAACAAAAGAGATTGATTGCCTATAATTACACAGTACACTAATCAATATCCCTAGGAGGTTTTTGTGCCTTCCAAAATTTTTCCTGGCAAGCTGGAAGTTTATTAGCCCTCCCACAATTTTATTCTACTACTGGAATGAAGGATCTTAGAAATTTAGCAAGCAACCTGATAATGTATATAGAATAAAACAGAGCATAATTCAGCCACATAAACCTAATGTTCTGAGAGGTGCATAAAGATATACGTACATGAATTATGTGAATGATTTAGTCATGCTGTTTTGTCCTTGAGAAGCACAACCTAAATTTAGAAGGAAACAATATTTGCCCCATTTGGAAAGCTGTACCTGTCACATCTGGAAACTATACTTGCTGAACCAACAGAAAGTGGTAATTTCCTGAATTTACTGTGATATCCCTCTTGTCATCCATACAGCAGCTCAGCTCTGTGTCCATGGCACAGAGATTGGTGGGCAACAATTTCTGTAGCTGGCCAGATTGGAAAGTCCTGAAGATGCTTTGCATGCAGAAGATCTAGCAGTCAAACCTCAAATCCCCAGGTATGGTTCAGAAAAAAATATTGCTTAGAGACCTGGAGGCCTCTTGCCTGTTCAATATATATATATATCCTGAGGCTAAAACATACCAATGTGAGTCAGCTTCTTGTCTTCCTGTGCTAATCACAGTGAGTAGAAAACCATCACTGAAACATGAAGACTAGGATTCTCTGAGTTCTGATAAGAACCTTTGCAATAAGCAATGAAGCAAAAATCTCCCTGTGTTCTCACCAGCATACAGGTAGCCAATATATGACTTTCTTATTGTTTTAGGAAGCCTATATTATTGACTGGATGGATCAATAGAATTTTCTGTCTGTAATGCTTATTGTTCTTGCTCTTTCATATGCAATATAAACCCCATAGGCACAGCTGATGAGTATTTCAATAAATGATGCCATTTATAAATTTTGTCTCTTGTGTACAGATCAGACTAAGTCCGTGGTTCCCAACCTTGAGTCCCCCAGATGTTCTTGGACTACAACTCCCAGAAACCCTGGCCAGCACAGCTAACAGTGAAGCTTTAGGAGTTTTAGTCCAAGGATATCTGGGGACGCATGTTTGAGAACCACTGGACTAAATGATCCTTTGATCCAAACATTTTCTATTCTTTGAGCATGTTTGAGAACCTTTGATCCAAACATTTTCTATTCTTTGAATAACTCTGTGTGCTCTTCATGTGTAGGAAACAGACAGGAAAGATACTAACACTGCATCGGGGAGGGGGGGGGAGAAGGAATGCATATGTCTCTGTGGCTTGGGAAATGTAGGCTTAATTCCTCCTGCTTTGTACATTGTACACTTTGTTCAGATCCTCAAGACAGTGTTTAGTATACAGCTGTCCCAAACTGCGAATCAGAGCAGGGGGAAATGTTGGGTACAAAGTCAGACCATTTGTTCATTTGAATGACATCAGCAATGTTGTGAGTTGTCATACTTGTTGAATTTGAAGGGTCACATCACAGGTTAAGGCAAAAGCTTATTTCCTGCTCTCATAATGTTATCCCACTAAGCAACATACATCTTTGGGTGCTGCATCTGGCTTGCAAACAAAGCTGTGAAAAGCTCTAAATCAGTGTTTGGTATCAGTAATGGACTGGATGAGGGTGAATAAACTGAAGCTTAACACAGACAAGACAGAGGTGCTCCTGGTCAGTCATAAGGCAGATCAAAGAATAGGGATGCAGCCTGTGCTGGATAGGGTTATACTCCCTCTAAAAATACAGGTGCACAGCTTATGGGTGCTGAGCCTGGATGCCCAGATTTCAGTGGTGGCCAAGAGTGCATTTGCACAATTTAAATTAGTGTGCCAACTATGTCCATTTCTGGAGAGATCTGATTGACACACATCCTAGTTACTTCCTGGCTGGATTACTGTAATGTACAGTACTCCATTTTCCGCCAATGGAAACTTCAGTGGGACCAAAATGCAGCAGTCAGATTGCTGACTGGGGCTGGTGACAGGGATCATATTATGCCCTTGTTACAGCAACTTCACTGGCTGCGGATCATTTCCGGGCACAATTCAAAGTCCTGGTTTTAACCTATAAAGCCCAAAATGACTTGGGTCCAAGCTATCTCAAAGACCATGTCTCCCATTATGAGTTGGCTCAGATCATCAGGAGAGGCCTTTTTCTCAGCCCATATTATTTTACCCAGGCTTCGTGCTCTGGAGAGGACACTCCAGCTTTGCATACAGCATCAAAGTCCTCCATACAGAGCACGTTACCATAGTCTCTCGAGACTGAAGGATGCCTATGATGTAAACCGCTGTTGTATTCTTATTATTTTCAACTTTAAATATTGTCTTTCAATAATGTAAGTTGCCTTGGATCCTTTTTAAGGAGCACTGGGCCGCATTATGAGCTGAACTGGGCTGCATGCGGCCCTCGGGCCGCAGGTTGGACAAGCCTGGCATACAGCATCGAAGTCCTCCATACAGAGCACGTTACCATAGTCTCTCGAGACTGAAGGATGCCTATGATGATGTAAACCGCTGTTGTATTCTCATTGTTTTCAGCTTTAAATATTGTCATTCAATAATGTAAGTTGCCTTGGATCCTTTTTAAGGAGAAAGGTAGGGTAAAAATATTTTAAATAATAATCAATCTCCCAATTGACTAATTATAAACTACTGATGAGTTGGCTACCTGGCCATTTCCCCCTCAGTGCCTTCCAGGAAAAGAGTGAGCCTATGAAACCTTCTCCAACTTGCTCTGTCCCAGAGTGTCCCCAGAAGAAGGGAATGGTAAACCCCTTCTGAATATTGTATACCAAGAAAACTATGGAAAAGTTCAACATGAATCAGAATGGACTTGATGGCATATAATTATTCTTATTACTAACATTTTAACAAGTCTACAGTTTTACAGTTAAAATCTGTATTAAGTCTCATTCTGCTAAAGTAACTGAAGCAAAGTAACAACAAAATTACCAGTAGTATAAGAGGAAAAAAAAGTTGGGGAGTGTTGTTGCAAGCTGAATCCATTGCCATGTGGGGATTAAATATGCAATTCCAGGAAGAATTATAACTCCGATGGTGAAGAAGACCTGAATAACAATTCCAACAATCCGCCGCTCATCTGAACCAACGATCTCTGTTACTGAATTGATAAAAAGACAAATGAAAGATACTGAAAGGAACCAGGTAATTTATTTTAAAAAACACAAAAAGTTTGGTTGTTGGCTGCTATGTTATGGACAGTTTTTCCTCAATACTCGACAGTTCTTCCTTCTCTATATAATAGGCAGAAGAGAATCTGCATCACAAATGTTTGATGCTTTGGACGCTATGGTCTAGTTCAGATAAAAGGAATATTACTTTTATCTGTATGGTCACTCTTACAACCATCATTTCCCCCTCTCTCTCCTTCTGTGCACAATAACTCCAGTGGTTGTTAAACCACAGTCCCTATTATATTGCCAGGAAACTTGGTTTGGTTTCTGACAAAAATCCACAATATCAAACAAGGATCCTGATTGACTGAGATTCAATCGTAGCTGCTTCATTGATGAGAACTAAGGAACTGTGATTTGATGAACCTCAAAAGTTTTGGATTATGGTATGTAATTTGGAGAAAACAAGAGGGCAAGGGAGAGGCAAAATAGAGTTTGTAAGCACAATCCTGTTCCTGGTCTAATACCTCACAGTTTGTTAAACCAAAATTATTACAATTGAATTCAGCCTGTGATTTAATCACAGGTGAGATGATGCACCCTTGTATTATTTGCTGCTGTCATCTCTGCAAGGGTGTATGTCATAATGTATACCTTAAGTACACACACATCTATCATAAGGCATATCTTTCCTTTCCTGGTTAAGCTTGGTTTCTGCCCACCTTTGCTTTGTATTACATCTATCATAAGGCATAACATCTTTCCTTTCCTGGTTAGGCTTGGTTTCTGCCCACCTTTGCTTTGTATGTTGTAGACGTGTACCTAAAGATGTGATTTCAGCTCTAATTATGAATTATCTGTGAAGCATAATTTGGATGTAAGGCCATTGGTTTTGAACTAAACATGCCATTACATCTTTGCATTAAATGAACACAGTTTTCTTGTCTTGTCTTGTCTTTTACAATGTGGCTAGCAGCTGCTGAGTAGGCTGATTATAATCAGGATCGCAACAGGGGTTTAAATATTTCCTTCCCCGACAAACAAAAAACAAACACTCCTTTGATGCCACTATTTGCTTTCCAGATTTCAACCACCAATGGCACCAGTAACTTCCAGAACAGAAAAAAATAATTGTTTGTCCTTAGATGGGCTGGTCACTAAAAGATCCCCCTTCTCCTTCTTGCAGTCTAACAATATTCACAATTGACCCCATGTGGAAGACAAGTAGAGAATCACCTAATTCAACAAAAAGCCCTTTCTGCCTCTGCTGCTTCTCCCTCAAGAGGGGCAAGTGAACATGCAACACACCTTACCAATAACAAAGCTTGTCATCCAGGTTCCTTTCCCAAACACGCCTTGTAGGAAACGAAATATTGAAAACACTACAATGTTTGGGGCAAAAGCCACGATCAGGCCACACAATCCTGCCCCAAAGGCAGAGAAGAGATAAATGATGATTCTGCCATATCTGTAAAAATGAACAAAATAAAACAAAATAATAATTTAAAAAGGAATGGGACCATTTTTTAAATAAAAATCTCTTGTAAAACATCCCTTCTGCATATAGAAAGGAGGCCCTCTAATAAAATGGAGCACCTTTCTCCACAGTTATCTTCTGTTTTACTGTACTTGGCACCAGCAGTAGTGTTTCTGGCAGCACTAATATTACTTCAAATAATATTACTTCAGTTTTGCAGTACTTTGATTCAGTTATACACACATTTGTTTCAGGATTGGATCGTCATCTAAATGGAGCAGGAGATGAGATAAGGCAAAAAGACACATTGATTGTACCAGTTGAAGATTGTAGTATTAACTGTGCTTCCTGGGTTCTCAAGAAATTTATGGGATTCACTTTGGAGTAAACATACATTAAATTGACTGTCTTAAATTGAACTGGATCTTCAACAGAAAATTGTAACAATTAAACAGTTGTTGGTCTTAAGCTGAGCACGCTTAGGCCTTCTAGAAATACAACACAATAACCACAACCAGCCCACTTTTGGAGGAAAGGACACAGGTTTATAGGTTACAGCAGCATTTCTCTGGCCCAGCATTGGATCTAGTGCATCAGGAGATTTGAGTGCCCCCTGATGTCACCATCACAGATAGGCAGTTTGCTGAGGGTCACCCCCCCCAGACTGACACCCCCTTGGAGATCACGTGGGCATACCCCACGTCATGGCTCCCTGCCACTTGGAGACAGAACCAGACCTGTGGCTTCTGAAACTAGATCAGACCTAAATGCCCCATCCACAGCTCCCCCTAATAATCTTCTAATAATAATCTTAGAACTACAGAATGGGAAGGGGCCCTATGGATCAGCCCCTGTCGAGGAGGCATAGTGAGGAATTGACTCCCAAACTCTGGCTCCCCAGACAAATGCCTATATTTTTGAGCTATAGGGGATTCCTCTATACCCAGACATATTTCTGCCTCCCACCCCAACATTGACTGGATCCACCCCAATGCCTCTACTGCCAACAAAATTGTGCCAGAATGCCAATGCCAATGCCAATGCCAATGCTAATGCCAATGCCAATAACAATAACAATAACAATATTATTATTGTTGTTATTATTATTATTA